GTCGTATCAAGCGGCGTGTGCCACACCTCTTGCTTGACCCTGGACAACTTGATATGAGCTCTTCCAGCTATTACCGTCATAAGTGACTTCCTTCCTTCTTGGGGCACTGTGGCAGACCTTTTTTCCTGAAAAAGGAATTACGATAGTTTTAGATATACGTCTATACGTCCTAGGTTCGCTCTAATTGAAAGCATAATCAGTCGACACTATCAACAATCTCCTGCTTCGGTTGCCGTGAGACAAAACAGAAACTTTGAAAAACCTGTTTAAAGGTATACAATGTTCATCGGCGGTGATTCGGCAAATCCTCAAAGCATCTCTTTATCGTTTAAATGGGGTAATTTGCTGCGGTGGTGGCAACCCATTTTGGAGAGCAAAAAGCTAGAACGATCATTTTCCGAAGCCACCAATTTCAAACATGGACGAATGGACGCGAAGCTCGCCATGGCGAAGACGCGGAGTCGCTCTCAAGCTTATAGCAGTACGCGCTCCGACGATGGATGGGAAATCGCAAGATCGGCGGGCAAAAATTGGATACGGGGAGATGGAAACGCTCCTTTTGCAGGGTTTTCGGGGTTTGAAGTGGCGTCAGAGATCGCACTTGAACCGTAGGTTCCAATAAGAGTCCCTCCACTCTGCATTGTTTACCATGGGTCTAATTCTGGCATGTCACTGCCTTTAAGTGAAGGGTCTTACATGGAAGAGCGACCAAAAAAGGACCCGAGGATCACCGTGGTCTTTCCACATGCGACATATACGGAAGTTTTTCGACACGCTGACCTCAAATCACTTTTTAATATCTGCAACGCGATTCTGTGAAGAAGGCTATAGGCGTTTTTTTCTAATGAATCAGTGGTGCCAGACAGTGAAGATTATTGATGCTGGCCAATCTGCCTGTTTTATGCTCCAGAGCAACACTAATCCGCCATTGTATTCAGACTAACCAAGCTCAATTGCAAAGCAAGAGAAATTTTGCATTACTCACTCTGACTCTCTGCAACAGTGCGACTAGCCGTCAAGATTATTGATGCTGGCCAATCTGCCGTCGACAAGCGTTCAAAACTTTCTTGAGAAAACCGCTTTGTAAATAACGAACACATAACTGAGATCAGCCTTCCAAAATGAGTAGTTTTGTGCACAGCCCACAACTTATGACGAAACTTAACGCTGATTTTAGGTACTTCCCTTAGGGTTGCGACTCATTTATTGTTAGAACTACCGCAAAGAAGATCTCGAAATCTAAAAGTTCTAAATAAAAATCCTAACCATTTCGAGTGAACAACATCTTACTCCAATCATCCCCTCCCTCGTCGTGGATTAACTATTCATGGCTTCCTTTTTTCTAACACGTCACTTTTCAGGCGGAATTACCCAATGGCAAGGTTTATATGATCATTCCCTTTGCTGTTATGACTATCATAGCAGCCGTTCTCACGCTTTTCGGCTTGCCGGAAACGATGGGCACAGCATTGCCTGAAACAATTGCTGAAGTGGAGGGGGAAGAAGAAGCATTATCACAAAAATCTCAATCTACTCGTCCAAAATTGACGGCGGATGAGGACGATTTGAACCTCAAATCTGAAGAAACTGATAATAGTACTCGAACACAAAAAATATCAGGCATTGAGGAAGACTAGTCAGTTTTAGTTGTATGAGCCGCTTTGAAGTCTATAATTTCTATCGATAGATTCTTCAAGTGGTTATTCTGCATTTTTCGATTACAAGTTTTCATATGTGTCACTAGCGAAAGAGATCTCTAACAATATAATACTTGACCAAATTTTCGCTTACTCTGAGCTCTCATTTGTAGTATTATATAACTCTGTGGTGTTATGATCCAGTGATATGATGCAGTGATACTTCGTAGCATTCTTCTCAAATTATTTAAAAGCTTTTACGATAATCGGTGTCTTAATTACAGTCAGCATAAATCTTCTATCAGTTGAATTCGATTTGCCAATGCTCCCAAAGGTAGTGTCGCGGCAAAACTTAGCTTCCGCTTTTCACGTTTTCGGAGCCTATCCGCCATGCTGAAGCCATATTTGGGCTTTTCAGCGCATGAATATGGTTAAAATGAGCTTTTCCAAAGTTCTCCATGTACAAATGCGCTCTTTCGTTCAAGTGGGCGGGGTCGGGAACGAGGGGACCGGGTTCAGATTTCTGGAGTAGATGCTTTTTCGCTCCAAGGTCTGATGTGTGTGCCGGCATTTGAAGTGAAATATGCTTATGCTACCGCAGCTTCGCGGTCTATCGATGTCTTTCCATAAACTGCACGTTTGTTCCTCGAGAGTATTCCTCTTCCTCTGTCTGCAGTCTTTCTCTTTCATCTTTCTCATCACAAGTTTAATTTTAATACAGCAAGATACTAGGATTAGATGATGGCGACGAAATTTAACTTCTCTTCTGACAACTCGTTCGCAAGCTTATTTCAAAATCATTTGCAGTAACTCTGTAATGCATGTAATCTGATAGAGCAACAAGTCGAATGCAAAAGGCCAGTACATCATGGGTAACAAACGGAACAGCTGAAATTATTGACTTACAACAAAGTGGAACGAAAAGAGTCGGGTGGAATTGAAAGCGCACTCAAATTGAATCGTGTTCATGATGAGAAAGGTAAAAGAGAAAGAAGATAGCAAGCTCTCAAGGAATACTTTTGAAAAACACGAATGTGCAGGCTATAAAGAAACATCGATTAAAAGCAAAGTTGTAGTAGCATGAGCATATTTCCATTGCGAAAGCAGCAGCAGGCTGCGACGTGCCCCACGGGACGCGGCAGGTTGCGGCTTAGGCCTAAGGCATCGGGCATACCTCGTCGCTGTGCGATTTCTGATTG